TTTTTTTTGGGGGGGGGGGGGCATCTTGATTTTCTCAGCATTATCTATAAAATGAAAGTACTTAATCTAATATACTTATGGGATATTTTCTATATTGTGTAGGGATTAGAAGTAGGCTATGTAAAGTCTTTAATATTATAATTCTTATACTTTTTTCCCCTCATCTTTCCCCTTAGATTTCCTTCATGGATACATTTTCATAGCATTATTATGTGATGTGAGAAGTTTTTTGTTTCTTTTTTGAAGTAACATGGATTTTATACTGCAAAATCAAGAGATTGGCTTTATAGGAAAAATTGATTTGTAAAAAGTGGTACAGGTTTTTATAGATAACCATGACAACATCCCATATGAATGGGCATGTTACTGAGGAATCAGACAGCGAAGTAAAAAATGTTGATCTTGCATCACCAGAGGAACATCAGAAGCACCGAGAGATGGCTGTTGACTGCCCTGGAGATTTGGGCACCAGGATGATGCCTGTTCGTCGAAGTGCACAGTTGGAGCGTATTCGGCAACAACAGGAGGACATGAGACGTAGGCGAGAAGAAGAAGGGAAAAAACAAGAACTTGACCTTAATTCTTCTATGAGACTTAAGAAACTAGCCCAAATTCCTCCAAAAACTGGAATAGATAACCCTATATTTGATACAGAGGAAGGAATTGTCTTAGAAAGTCCTCATTATGCTGTGAAAATACTAGGTAAGTAAAAACAGAATAATAGAAGATATTTTGTTTTTGTTTCTCTTGTCTTAACATAAATGTGTATAGAAAGGAAGAAGGGTATAATAAATGTAAATAATAGCATTTTGAAATCAAGACACTTATTTTCTTGGAAAGGTCCTACAACCATCATTGTTTACTGTTAGCCGTGTAGAGTTAAAGCATATGGCTTAAATATTTCAGTTTCTACAAGATAGTTTTTATATATAATCTTTGAATTAAAAAATTCTACATATGGCCTAACAGTTAAAGCCTTGAAATTCACCTTTTATTTGAAACTCAGATTTTTATATCAAAATTACTCAAAAGCGATTTTCAGATTTTGAATTTCTGATTTTGTTAAGGTTTGTAAAATAGTAATAAAATTAGTATCTGTAGCTTAAAATCTATTTGATTTTAATTAATATCATTAAGAAGAACTTGTGCTGCTTACATGACATCATACACATAAAACATGGCTCAAATTCCCTATACTATCCCCAATTCCATTCTGTGAAGAAAAAAAAAAACTAGTGCTGAGATTTTAATAGATATAAACAAAAAAATGTCTGTGATCAAATAAATTTTGAGAACAGTGGGTTAAATAAGTTAAACATCTTATTACAGGACTTCTTAGAGTCTTTAGAATATTAATAGACATTATGAATCTATAGTAGAGTTGATGTCAAATGTAAATTTCCAAACTTAGAATATTTGATTATTGAACTTATTGCCCTTTCTTCCTGCACACACACACACACACACACACACGCACACACACACACACACACACACACACGAGTGATCACTGAACTAGTGTTAGGAGTATACGTTAATTTGTGTTCCTTTAGATCAGGGGTGGGGAATGTCTGTGAAATCATTTGGCCTGGCCCTCCAAGGCATCCACAGGTGAGACTCGAAATTCAATAAATCTCGGAGCTTTTTTCATAGCTAATTTTTAAGTTGATAATTTTGTATGGCCCAAATATGTTATAAATATCCAAATGGCCCTTGGCAGAAAAAGGTTCCCCATTCCTGCCTTAGATGCTTGTAGCAAACACCATTCTGTGTAGTATCCACAATAATCCTGTTAACAGGGCTCTGTAATTGCCGTTTTGGAGATAAAGAAATAACCTCTGTTAAATCATCTAAGACCCCAGGCTAATAAGGGGTAGAGCCAAGTTTGAATTTCCCTGATTTGGGTATGTAGTTGGTATATTGCACAGAGCAAAGGGTTTGAGTAGAGACTGGCACCCTGCCTGTTCTTCACTCACTGGACCAGTGCTCGGACTACCAAGAGTGGAATACCTTTCTCTAGTTTTTCCAAAGCTACCTTATGTACGAGATTTGCTCCTTACGAAGCTCTGTATTCTAAATCTCGAGCAGTTCCTATTACATCACATAGTCTGCTGCTTTTCTTTGCTGTAAATTCATTTAGGGTCCATATTTCTTGACAGAAAGCCATGTGCTTGCTTCTCTGGTGTTTGAAGATATCATTGACGTGTTCAGTGATAGTGAAATCTGCTAAATTCCTTCAGATGTTACAGTGAAAGCAGAAAGATTACAGATTTTTTAATGCATTTATCTAAACAAATTTTATGCTCTTTTTTCCCCTGAGAGTTTTGTTCGAGTAACAATATTTCATTCCCAGTTGCCTTTTACCAGTTCTCATCTCCTACTATCCCTTTTTTTCTTTTTTTTTTTTTAATTAAAATATTCTGTGTTCTCTGTGACTTGGAAAAAGTTTACATTGTAGTATATTGTATATTCAGCCTAAGCTTGGAAGATTCTTCTGTTTTTCTGTTTAAATTTCTTTAAGATTAATGTATTTGTCCATTTGCTTTATTTAGATCAGGCATAAATATCCATCTAATAATATTCATGTAAATCAGTAAAGAAACAAATGTAGCTTAAGCCAAATTCACGTAGGGAATTTATTTATTTATTCATTCATTCATTTGCCTAAGCTCAGAAAACTTGAGACCATTTCTCTTAAATTTTTTGCTTTTTCCTCTCTCTGTTCATATGTTGTGTGGCTAACTTATCTACAAGCATAGATTAAAGGACAGCTATATTTACTTCCAACTTGCAATCTATGGTAGTTTGTAAAAATACCTTTGTACAGTCCTTAAACTTAAGGCTATTTTACATAGCTGGTGTTACATTTCAAATTACTTTAAAATAAACTATCTGTAATTCATTTTTTGAATAGGAAAATATTTAATACATTGAGAAACATGATAGATTTAATGTTAATATACTCAACACAAATATGTTAATTGTAGGAAACATGAAAAGTTAGCGTTAGTTATAAAGTTTTTATTATCAGTCAAAACTTCAGTGTTTGAATAGACTCAGTTTTAAATTTTCATTTTAAAATGAAGTTTAATAGCTTTGCACCAAACATTTTTTTTTCTGTTCGTAATTTGCTAACACATCATTCTACAACAGAAGTACTCCCTTAAAGTTGACTGTGTCTTCCTGCCAGTATTTTGATTAATACACGCATGCCAGGAGACAAATTCTGCCAGAAACAGCAGCCTTGTTTTAAGTGAGGAAAGGATGGGGCAGCTGATTTATTTCTTTCAGAGGGAGCCTTCAGTTTCCAGATGATACATCATTTATCTGTGAGTAAAAACTGAAAATGTGTTTGGAAAGGTTAGATACTTTAATTGTCTAGGTGGTGGTTTTTAATGAAAGCATTTATAAATTTGGCACTGGGTAGTAATAGAAGTGCAAGGATGGAGGAACCACCCTACTAGATGCACCAGTTTACATTCCCACCAATGATGCACTGATAATAACCATCCTAATGAGTGTGAGCTTGCCTTGATTTCTCAGGCCGTAGAAATGTGCATAAAGTAAGTGCATATAATTTGCTAACACACTTAGAATAATATCTGTTACAGAGTAAACTCTATGTTAAATTTGTTAAATAAATGTACAAATCACCAAAGTTTTTTTTAAAAGTGCAGGAATGGAATTGATAGAAAATATTCAGAAATGATGAACTAAATTTTCTTGTTTAAAAGCACTCAGAACCTTATTGAAAATTAGAAAATAGTGATGTGGGAACTTAACTCCAAATGATAATTAATATTAGTATTATAAAGTATTTTTAAAAATTATATATTTGAGAAATTTTGAACTAATTCCAAGTGAATAATTAATATTAATATAAGTTATACAAATTTGATATATTAAGAAGACTTTCCTTAAAATTGTCATGAGTTATTAAAACTTGCTTTGCTATAAATAAAATGTTCTTGTCTAGTTCTCTTTCATAAGCAAAGCAAACTACCTTGTGGGAAAAATCCTGAGAAAAGAATAGAATGCAGGTTAGAGTGGGATGAGGTAGAGTAGGATCATTTCCAGCTACGTCTAGATTGTAGATTTACTGTTTCGGTTTTTATATTCATAAATAAGCAATTTTGGGCCACAACTGTGAACAGGTAAATACAATGGACATAATATTTAAAGAGAATAAACTCAGAAACACTGTATTCTATTGTATATGTGACTATATGATTGTTGCATCTTTGAAAAGAGCTTAGGAAAGGCACACTCAACCACCCTTACACACCCATGGTGGGCTATCTGTTTTGCGGTTTATAAGGAGACTCCTGAAGTTGGTGATTCGGGGCTTTCTAATTTATACCAGAAGAACATGCTATTAATGTGAAGAAAAATTTTAAAAAGACATACCAAGGGGAAGAAAACTGAATAAAATACTTTTATAATAATAATAGCATGTTTCAGTATTGATTAGTGTCTTTTTTTTTTGCCAGATAGCTCTGAATATTCAGACTGTACTTCTGGCTTTGGCTGGGTGGCTCAGTTGGTTGAAGCATTGTCCTATACACCAGAAAGGTTGAGAGTTCGATTCCTATTCAGGGCACATACCTAGGTTGTGGGTTCGATCCCTGGTCAGAGTGCGTACAGGAGGCCAGCGATTAATGATTCTCTCACATCTATTTCTCTCTTTCCCCTCCCCCC